TTTCATTTTCTGTTGATGTAACCTGCTGTCCCAGTTTTAAGAAATGGGATTACTTAATTTCCCTTTACATTTTCCTGTAGATACTAAGACAAAGTCACAGATGTCTCTTTCTTCTCTTCTACCAGCTTCCACCCACTGTCACTTTCCTGGAATGGAGTCTTTATCGAATGAAGAATTTCCCTTATTATTTAAAGGTAATAAGAGGTTATCTTGGGCTTCAGTTACCTTTATTGCCTGCTTAACTCCAGCAGAGAGCACTCTATTCATCCAGCTTTGTTCTATTCACACTTCCTATTTTTCATTCTCAATTCTATCCCCACGATAATGTCAGTTTTAACTGAATAAGCCACAAGCAGCTTACCTGGTCCTTTTGTCTCTTGGTATCGAGTGCTGGGTTTCAATAGTTTTCGCACCTGAGAAGCCTAAATTAAACTCACCCCTGTTCCATTATTTTTAATGGCACACAAAGGGAGTTTGAAGGCAGCAAAAGGGCACCTCCCCTGTAATCTGCTGTTCAAAATGCCTATTTCATCTTGCTTCATTATATGACCACCCAGGACTGATACAACTGTAACATCCAATCATGTTGTGACTAGCCTGCATTTCCTTGTGATGAACAAGGAAAAATGAAATATGGTAGAAATTTATGGTAGTGAAAAGCTGCTGCTACCAATACCAATAACAGTAAGAATTACAATATAATGTGCCATCAGTATACAAGGCACATGATTTTCTCACATGGATGCTACCCCTTGCTAGGGAGTCAGAGGTGTTATATGATGGAACCAACAACACTTACTGTTTTATTAGCAGGAAGTTGTGGCTTGATGTAACAAAATCCTCAAAAAATATTTATTTTTAGAACCAGCAGATTTTTGATAATACTCCACACTGATATGCCTCATGTGTGTGTATGTGCCTTCAAGTTGCCTGTCAGACTAAAACAACTCCATAATTCGTTAGGGCTTTCTTAGGCAAGGAATGCTCAGAGATGGTTTTGCCAGTTACTTCCTCTGAAATATAGCCTACAGAACCTGGTGGTCATTGACAATCTCCCATCCAAGTAATAACCAGGGCTGATTCTGCTGAGCTTCCAAGAACAGACAAGATCTGGTGCGTTCAGAGTATTTAGGCCTCTTATACCACATAGAAATACCCACATGTCATGTAGCAAACCATCTTTGAAACTCAGGGAATGCTAAAAGCTGAATTGCCACATGGAGCAGGTAGACACATTGTTTAAAAGAAACAGTCAAACAACCTGCTATGGGAAGTCGTAGGCTTTCATGGCCAGCATCCATAGTTTTTTG